ATATGTATATATGTGTGTGTTTGTGTGCATGCAAGGATGCATGCACATGTACACGCATGTTTGCATGTGTGCATGCATGCAAGTATGTATGTACGCATGTCTGCATGTACGTACGTATCTACGTGTGTAGGCACATATGTATGGATGTATGCATGTATGTGCGTGTGTGTTCGTATAGGCACGGTCGCATGCATGTATATAGGTATGATTGTCTACCTGTATGTATATATGTACGTGTATGCGTATATGTATGTGTGTGTATGTATGTGTGTGTATGAATACATGCATGCATGTATGTATGTATGCATGTAATAGTGTGCGCATGCGTGTATGTATGTGTGCATGCATGCTTGTGCATGTGTGTTTGTATGTGGATGCATGTGTGTGGGCGTTCGTATGCACGTATTTGTGTGTATGGATGTATATATGCATATGGTTATGTATGCATGCATGCATGCATGTGTGTACATGTGTAAATGTGTGTACATGTGCATGTATCGATAGCTTCATGCATGCATGCATGTATATATGTATATATATATATGTATACGCGGATGCACGTGTGTATACAGGTGCGCCTGTGTGTATGTTTGTATGTCGGTCTGTCTGACTGGCTGTCGGTCTGCATGACTGCATGTATGTAAGTATGTCTGCACGCGTGTATGTACGTGTGTGTATGTCATGTGATGTATGTACGTATCCACGTATACTTGCATGAATGTATGTGTGTATGAAGGTCAACAGGTATGAGTGAGTTACATGTATGCATGTGCGTGTGTATGTGTGCATGCGTGTATGTGTGCATGCCTGCATGTGTATGTATGTATGTATGCATGCATGCATGTATTTATGTATATGGATGTGTAGGTGTCTGTATGTATGCATGTAGGTATGCATGTATGTATGCACGCGTATATCAGATATTACAATGCGCCTCGCTACGCGCCTGAACAACGAGTCGGTCCTGCATTTGTTCTGCTTTGCTTGGCTGCTTTTCCGCCGCGAGTCGCCTGGATGCCAGTCTTCAAGGACCAAGGCGCATGGCGCGAAGCACCAGGAGAACCTAACCTTGCCGGCTGTGCAGGTCCAGGGTTGGGAGGGGCGCGGGCATGTGCAGGGCTGCCGACAGCGCGAAGGTTAGGTTCTCGGCCGGCCCCCTCCTCGGGAGACTCTTCATGGGGGGGGATCCTATGGGGGGATAGGATCCCAGGGGGGGGGATCCCATAGGATCCCCTGGGGATCCCATGGGGGGCAGGGGGGGATCCCATGGGGGGGATCCCCTCTTGCCCCCCCATGGGATCCCCCCCCATGGAGAGTCTCCTGACCTCCCCCCCCCGGCCCCGGAGAACCGTAACCCGGGGTATATCGCCGACTCCAGAAGACCGGTCTCCTACCGGGGCTTCTCGGAGGAGGGCGAGGCACTGCTCCACCTGCGGGGGGGGAGGAGGAGGAGGAGGAGGAGGAGGAGGAGGAGGAGGAGGAGGAGGAGGAGGAGGAGGAGGAGGAGGAGGAGGAGGAGGAGGAGGAGGAGGGGCGCCGCTGCCCCTGCCTCGTTTCGTCCTTTCGTTGGCCTCCTGGGAGGCCCTCGTCGCCACCGCTCGCTTCGCCTCGAAGCTCTGGTCAGAACGCACCCCGGGAGAGGTCCAGGAAGTAGCAGTATCGGTACCCTCGGGTGTCCCCAGGCCTCGTGTCTCATCCCCCACGTGCTTGAGGCTGGTGCTCGCGATGCGCCGTCGACGGCAACACCTTCTCCTCCGCCCTGCACCCCGGGCTCCGCCAGCTCCGGCCGCCTGAGGCCCCGCCTTCCTGTGCCCTGTCTCCCTAGTTAAAGCTGTGCGTAGCCCGCCTAGCTTTTAGCGGAAGAGGTTCGCTCTCGCCCCGCAGATCAAAAAGTGTCATCCCCCACCTCGGCTGCCCACCTCGCTCTTATTCGCAATTGCGGGGTGCGGCGTAACCACTAAATGGGCATACTGTTGCATGGTGCACCGGTGCCTCTCAGCTGGTTGCCCCCAAAGGGCCGGCGGATATAGCGTGGCGCTTGCAATGCACATTGCTGTCCTGTCCCTTCCCGACTTCCAGAGGTAGTTGGCTGAGGCATTCCAGGGTGCAGCACTATACCGCCATGATTGGCCCACGCCAGCGCTGCCCATTTGCATACGTACCTCGCGCGTACTGTTCGCGAGGAAAACGCCATGACATGTCCCATCCTTGTCTATACCCCTGACATTGCGTAAGACCTCCGGAGGGCTGCCGTCGCAGCAGCACCATGCATTGGGGCAATATCAGGAGGAGCGGGAGTATCAGTGTGGCGGGCAGGAGGCGGCGGAGGGGGAATGAGACCGGCAGGGGAGCCAGGTCCCTCTGCCCCCCCCCCCCCCCGAAGACGGTGGCGGCGGCGGTGACATCGACGACGCTGACGACGGTGACGCCGACGGCAACGACTGCGACGGCGGCGCTCCCCCCCCCCAAGGCGTTCGAGGAGAAGTCTGCTTGGGCGCAGGACCCCCACTGCGAGCCGGGGACTCATCTCATAACCGCTTTGGGTCCCCTCACCTTTTCTCGCGGCAGTGGTCCTAAAACCTCCTCCTCCTCCTCCTCCTCCTCCTCCTCCTCCTCCTCCTCCTCCTCCTCCTCCTCCTCCATCCTTCTCCTCCTGCTGCTCCTCCTCCTCCTGCTCCTCCTCCTCCGCCTCCTTAGGAATGGCACGGCGGCTGCCGGGGACAAAAACAGTTAGGTACCCCCTATGAGTGTGTCCCCAGACCTTCGATGAGGCCGCTGGGAAAATGATTTGTTCCCCCCTTGGTGAAGGGGGTTCTAAAGGCCTTCCAGGGTTGATCACCGCCTGGGGGTTCGACCTTCGGGGGGGCTCGGCATGCGCTGGAGAGGGCTGCGCGCGGGCCCTCTGTGGCCGAAGTAACTTCTGGCCACGTCCACCGCCCGCTGCGGTACCACGACGTCGGATCCTCGGGCGGTGGACACGGATGCCTTCGGCCGCGCGCGGAGGGGAGTGGGGTAGGGGGAGGGGGGGAGGCCTCTTGGAAGCACGCCTGCTTCTTAGAGGGCGCGGGCCTTGCCTGTAGATGTAGGGCTGGTGTAAGGCCGGCGCCTTCCAAGGATCAGCCTCCTCCTCAGAGGCCGTCTCCCCTCCCCCTAGCCCCGGTGCGCGCCGTCAAGCTTCAGGAGGGAAGAACACACAGACACAAATAATCGCCGATTCCCAGGACCCACTCTGTTCGCGAGGGCGGCCGCGGGACCAGCATGTTCCGCATGCGCGTGGCGCGGGAGAACATAATGTAGAGGTGCAGCCACAACGCGCTCGTCCGACATGCCTGTGCGACGTGCTCAGGCACGACCCGTTCGAATTCGAGCGTGGATATGGGGTCCCCATCGGGTGGGGCCCCCGTTCGAGACTTCGCGTTTCATTCACATACGGCCCCCCCGCCCGAAGCCTCCTCCAGATTCAGTCTTGTAATCTCATGTTTGGGATTACCCGTTCGGGTGTGAACGAGGAAGCGGGGACCTCCTTGGGGCGAGCTCCCGCTCGACGTCTTCCTCGCGTTGCACTCGCAGACGAGGCTCCTGACCGAGAGGTCCTGTATATGACTGTGCGTGTGTGTGTGTGTGTGTGTGTGTGTGTGTGTGTGTGTGAAAGTGTGAGCGTGTGTGGGTCCGTGTAATGATCATAGCCGATGGCCACGCTGGGATAATTGTAATGATAATGGTGGTGTGATGGTGATGGTGATGTATGATGATGTTGGTTGGTGATGGTGATGCTTGTGTGATTGCGAGTCTGTGTGTGCGCGTGCGTGGTTGCATGTGCGATGATAATGGTACTGATGGGGGTGTTGTTGATGATGATGATGACGACGACGACCATTGAGGCTGTGAGTTGGAGAGTTGCATGAGTTGGTGGGTCCGTGATGGTGATGGCGGCGATGACGGTAATGAGTGCGTGGGTGCGTGAGTGTCTGAGTGGGGAGAACAGAGGGCGGGTGAGGTCTTTGCGCAGGGGGCGCACGGAACGCGAGCAACCCATGTTGGTTTTGGGGAGCACGGGGCATGTAGGAAGAGGTGGGATGAGAAGAGGTTGGAAATTCTGGGGCATATGGGAATTCATTGGGAATTCGTGTTTATTTACATGTGTGCACCCCTGGGCGCCTTCAAATACATCCCCGCGTCGTACCCACTTCCCCTTGCTGATTGGGGCGGCCCTGGCGCGCGGCGCGCGACGGCGCGAAAGTTCCTCCCCTTCGGCGGCTCGCATGGACGGGCCTGGCGGCCGACGGCGTGGGGCCCCACAGCGCGGGCCACCCCGGCAGCCCTCGCAAGTGGCCACGGCTTCAATCTCGCGGCCCCCCAAGAGGAATGCGAGAGGAAAGAGCCGACAGGAGAGCGGGGGGGGGGAGGAGGGGAAGAGGAGGGATTTGGCACCCCACTGCTCCATTGAAAACGAGAACCCAACCAAGGGAAAGTTGGGAGTAATGAGTGCGGCTCCTGCGCCAGCGCCTGAACTTTACTACTACTACTACTACTACTATTCGTCTCTGCGCCTTGCCATGCGCAGCTGGTACGCCGACAAGTACTACAGTCGGCCCGCACAGGAGAGATGAGCGAGTTTTCAATGTCACCCTCGCAGTCATCCCCGTCGGCCAATCCCTGGGTGGCTTCGCTGGCCGCGCCCAGCTCGCAAAATGTCGACGTGGCCCTCCGAGGCCCTTGCGTCCTCATCCTGCGTCCTCGCTGTGCGGGTGGACTGCACGGGAGGGAGACCCCCCCTCTTCCCGGCACCCCCTCCTTTCGCCTCGCTCGCCCCCCCGTCTGCTCCCCCCATCGTGCCCTGCCCTGCCGATGTTTAATCTTCCTCCGCCTCCGCCTCCTCTCTGCCTCCGCCGCGTGCTCCCCTCGGCTACTGCAAGGGTTGTGGTTGCGCCGGGGTGTGGTCTGCGATCGGCGTCGTTAGGGCACGGAGGGCACGACACTGTCCTCGTCGGGCCTCCTCGGGGCGCGGCGGAGAGCTCCGTCGAGGTTCTCGCCCGCCCCCCAGGATGCCCCCCCAGGGTGTCGGTTGCAAATGAGGCCCCCTTGCAAACCACACCTTTCAGAGGCGCCGTTCCTCGTCCTCCTCATCCTCGCTCCTGGCTGATCGCTCTTGTGCTCCTGCCCCCCCCCCCAACCCGTCTCGGAGACCTCTGTGCCTCCCCCGAGTCCTCCGGGGGCATGCGAGTCACCCTCAGAGGACTCGGGCCGGATGAAGCTGGGGGGTTCGAGATCTGCTGCATGCAGCCGGGTTCGTCTCCGCCCGACCGCACGAAGGATGGACGTGAGAGGACGAGGAGCAGCAGGCGGAGGAGGACGAAGAGAAGGAGGAGAAGGAGAAGCAGGTAAAGGCGGAGGAGGAGGAGGCAAAGGCGGGAAGAGGAGGAGGAGGAGGAGGGAGAGGAGGGAGAGGAGGGGGGGGGAGGAGGCAGAGGCAGGGGGGAGGCGATGATGATGATGATGATGATGATGATGATGATGATGATGATGATGATGATGATGATGATGATGATGATGATGATGATGATGATGATGATGATGATGATGATGATGATGATGATGATGATGATGATGATGATGATGATGATGATGATGATGATGATGATGATGATGATGATGATGATGATGATGATGATGATGATGATGATGATGATGATGATGATGATGATGATGATGATGATGATGATGATGATGATGATGATGATGATGATGATGATGATGATGATGATGATGATGATGATGATGATGATGATGATGATGATGATGATGATGATGATGATGATGATGATGATGATGATGATGATGATGATGATGATGACGACGACGACGACGATGATGATGATAATGATGATGATGCTGATGCTGATGCTGATGCTGATGCTGATGCTGATGCTGATGCTGATGCTGATGATACAAGGCCGCCACAGCTCGAGCCTACGGAGGCGCAGCGGCCTCAGCGGACGCGCCCCCCGTATTCAGGCATCCAGCAGAGAGCGCAGCCTTGACTCCTCCCCGCATGGACGCGACACCATGGCGATGCTCCAGCGCGTGAGCTTCGAGTGCCGCGATGACGAGGATGTCAGCCAGCTGCGAATCTGACGAACACATCCGCCTGCTGGAGAGCGCTGAGGATGCTGATGAGGACTACGCTCGACTGGATGAGTACAGTGATTTTGAATGGGTTGGCGCAGTGCCGCATCAGGCTCCCGACTATGCAGGAGATCTACGCGACTATGTTCACGACCCACAACGAGCAGAAGGCAACGCACAGGAAGATCAAGCGGCAAGACAGGTACTGCAAAAATGGACGAACCTATGCAGTATGCCTCCCCTCGCGAGGAATCTCTTGGGCACTGTGGCGCTTCGCCCACCACGCCACCTCCTACGTACACGCCATCACCGAGAGTCGCTACGACTGACGTTACCTCACTGGCGGTGGTGGGATGGAACCCTTTCACGCTGAAGGGCACCCCAAGACGATTGGATGGTATTTCAGATTCTTTTCATACGTTTCAGACCATGCTGGTGGTTGGTACCAAGCTACGTCAAAAGGCTCGAGATGTCCCACACCAGAGCGACGATCGCATCAAACATCATTGGATACATTTCGGATGGGGGCGTACACTACACCAACTCATCAGCGGGGTGCAGCATCGCTCGCAGCAAGAAACAGTGTCGCAAACAAAATTTCGTTCGCATATGACATCCAAGTGTTGAATTACAAGGGCGGGGAGGCGCTGTGGAAGTACACCGAGGTGCGCTACGACTCCGTTTCATTACGGCGTACTTCCCGCCACGACCCAGACAGGCAGTTCAGGTTAAATATGGTAGATGGGATGTCGCAAATTATTGAAATGGCTCATACAAGGAGGTGCCCGACCGAGTCATACCAATTCTTTTTACAGATTTGAATCAAGGGCTCGGCAAGACTGGCAGTAACAAAACACGGACGAAGCCATTGGACCCTATCAAGCAAGCACGGAGACAGCATTCGGAAAGGAAATGCACACGGCCTTCCGCCAACACGAGTTGAAAGCGCTCAGCAGCTATCGGGGCGTCGGGCGCACGTGCCACGGACCAAACAAGAGCAGCTCACGAGCATATTATGTCTGAGATGTTCCAATGTGTTCGAGATTGTGAAAACTATTAAGCTCGAGTGGAGAATCCGCCGACGAATTCGAGCACTGGTGCACGTTCCTGATCATGTGCCTATGGCCCTCCCCCTCCGCATCCCAGTTACCCAGGTTGATCCACCCCAGGCGCCGAATCGATGGGGCGGGGGATTGTTGGCACACGGCCTGCAGACGGGCACTGGTCGGGAGGAACTGGTGGAGGCAGTCGCAAATGATTTTTTTTTTTTTTTTTTTTTTTTTTTTAAAAAAAAAAAAGAGGTATTGCGAGCAGCGCACATGGGCAAATTCCCCACCAGACGCAACGCAGTTTTGCAACACATCATCACCACCA